GTTAAGACTCGAACTGAGGTCTACTCTCTCTGCTACTCTCTGTGTGACCTTGAGCAAGTTACATAATTTCTCCATGTCTCAATGTTCTCAACTGTAAAAAAGATTAAATAATTAATATTTGTGAACATAGCAGCATTCAATAAGTATGACTTAAATAAGTAAGTTGTAGAAACAATGGCCAGTCCAGTAGCTATAAGTATCCTTAGTGCCCAGATTATAGTCTCAAAATACCATCTCCCAATAAAACAAACAAACAAACAAACAGGGCTTCTTGGAAAGATGACTGATATCAGATCATAGGCAGAAAATGTACAAAATCAGACTTCAACTTCTTGCTATCCCAGATAGTAAGGAAGCTAATTTAAAGAGGTTTCCATTGGCCAAAGATGGGACAATTTAAACCTCTATAAAGATAATCATTGCAAAAGATTGAGTCCCTTAAGTGTATTTAAACACACACACACACATACATGACTCTGTATGTATATAACATTACAAATATATACAAAACCTAGTTGGTGACTCTTAGAGGATAATAAAAAAATTCATTATCTTGAAAACTGGTAAACAAAGGAAATATTTTTCTTTGTAAAAGTGTCTCCCTTAATACATTAAAAGGAAATGGTAAGTAAGAACATCTACATTTGTGATCCCTAATGAGTTAGTGGATCTCAGCATTTAGCATGTATGTCTGTCACCAGCAGAGACACGTGCTGCTTGATGAAAGAGCACACCATCAGCTCTAGTCTTGCCTGAGTGTGATCAGTCCTATGAATCCAGGTTGTAGGTTGAGAAAACTATGAAGACGTGGACCATGGAACATGTTAAACTGTACCATGAGGATGCAATCAGTAACATCCAGACTGTGAAAAAAATACTCAGATCAAATAGCCTCAGCTCTTCAATAAATACATTGTAAGAAAAAGAAGTTTGGGCCAGGAGTGAGGGGAATGGAGGAAACTGCTATAGTAAGTTTAATTTTTTAAGAAAACTTAGAAAAGACTAAAAACCTTTGAAAAGGCAAGACAAATACAAAAACTACAGTGTCTGGAGAAACACACGTGTGGTAAAACCGTAAGGCAAAGCAAAGAAATAATTACCATAAAAGTAAGAGTTGAGATTGCTTTTAGAGAAAAGAGAGACTTGAGGGATGACTAGAAAAGTTTTATTTCTTGTCCTGGGTGGTGGTTATAAGGATGTTCACCTTATAGTAACTCATCTAAAAGCAGACTTCCTAGGATATAAGTCTTAAACAGATTGACACATGGGCCTTTCTCTTCCTGAACCTTATTTGCTGTGGCCTTTCCATCTTTTTTTATGCCACCCAATATCTTATAAAACTCTGTCAGTTTTGCTGCTCGCAACTAAAGAACACCAATCTATACAAGTTACTGCTAATGGTAACTTGTGGTGGTAACTTGCCAAGTTACCATCAGTTGTGAAGTGAGTACAGGCAACTTAAATTTTTTTTAACTTTATTTTATTTATTTTAAAAATCCGACCAGAGAGGGGCAGAGTGAGAGAGACAGAGAAAGAGGGAAAATGAGAAAGCAAGCTGCTGGGTCTGGGACTCTAACTGCAGTTGGCCATGTGGGAGTCCAACGCCCTTAACCACCATGTCACCTGCTGGCCCCAGACTATAGACAACTTTTTAGAGAAGTTTTGCTGTGAAGAGAAACGGGGTGGTAGTTAGAAAGTCATTTGGGTCAAAAGAATTTTATTTATTTTTTATTTTTTTATTTTTTGGAGAGCTTTTCGCTATAGGGCGTGTGCGCTTGCCAGACAGAGAGAGACATAGAGACAGAAAGCGAGAAATCATCCCCCAGGGGGGATGGTCATGCCGCAATCCCTTCTCCATTCTCCTCCTGGGATGTTGAGCACACACGCACACGTGCCCGGCGTGAGTTTTAAGCCACTGGGTCCGGGACACGAACCGTGGTCGACTATGTGGGAGTCCAGTGACATAGCCATTATGCTAACTGCTGGTTCCCCAGAATTTTATTTTTTAAATGGAAGATGTTGTAGCATGTTTCTACACTGATGAGTATTGGTGATGCAGAAGAGCAGAGACAAATGCTGGAGCAAACTCCTTCAGTAGGAGAAAAGGAATGTGATCCTTAGTCTTGGTACACACACCTTGTTTCACCAGAATTAATAAGAGAAAAAGTACACTTTTGGGCAAAGATATAAGCAAGTTGTAAATTGTTAATGGAAGTTCTTTATTGGAAACATTTATGAACTATAGATCAATGGCTTCAATTGTGAGTGAGGAGGGAAAAGAGGTATTAGAGTCCTATGGAATAGAAGAATGTATAATTATGTGGTGAATGATATTTGGAAAAAATGTCAGGGTTTGGGGGTAAGTCCAAGAACTCGCTTGAGTCATGAATTTTTTTTTTTTTTGGGGAGATTTTCACTGTAGGGCCGCGCGCTCGC